TGACTGAACATAGTGATCTGTGCATGGCCCCGCCCCCTCTGACTGAACACAGTGATCTTACATGGCCCCGCCCCCTTCCGACTGAACATAGTGCTCTGTGCATGGCCACGCCCCCTCCAACTGAACACAGTGATCTGTGCATGGCCACACCCCCTCAGGCTGACTACAGCAGTCTGTGCATGGCCCCACCCCCTCTAACTGAACACGTGATCTTACACTCTGACTGAAAACAGTGTTCTGTACATGGCCCCGCCCTCTCAGACTGAACACAGTGATCTGTGCATGGCCCCACCCTCTCAGACTGAACATAGTGATCTGTGCATGGCCCCGCCCTCTCAGACTGAACACAGTGATCTGTACATGGCCCCGCCCTCTCAGACTGAACACAGTGATCTGTGCATGGCCCCGCCCCCTCAGACTGAACACAGTGATCTGTACATGGCCCCACCCTCTCAGACTGAACACAGTGATCTGTGCATTGCCCCGCCCTCTCAGACTGAACACAGTGATCTGTGCATTGCCCCGCCCTCTCAGACTGAACACAGTGATCTGTGCATGGCCACGACCCCTCCGACTGAACACAGTGATCTGTGCATGGCCCTGCCCTCTCAGACTGAACACAGTGATATGGGCATGGCCCCGCCCCCTCAGACTGAACACAGTGATCTGTGCATGGCCCCACCCCCTCAGACTGAACACAGTGATCTGTGCATGGCCCCGCCCCCTCAGACTGAACACAGTGATCTGTGCATGGCCCTGCCCCCTCAGACTGAACACAGTGATCTGTGCATGGCCCCGCCCCCTCAGACTACACACAGTGATCTGTGCATGGCCCCACCCCCTCAGACTGAACACAGGGATCTGTGCATGGCCCGCTCCCTACACACATAGACTACTACACATGCTGCTACCCACACTGTTAAACACACAAACACACCGTTACTGCTACCCACACTGTATAAACATTGCTACACACACACTACACAAATGCCCACTAACACATGCATACACACATAGATATGCCATTAGACATTTACACACATACATGCACACACACTACACATACACACACACACACACACACACATAATATATATGTGTGTATTCAACAATTTTTTTTTAGCAGTTTTTTTATTGGTTTGGAAGAGGTGGGATTCAGGGGAGCTTGAGAATTCTGTGCTAACAGGCACTTGTGATGTAAATCCAGCCCTGCTTAACACACAGCACGTAGCCCTAACATTCGACACTAACCCTAGCACGTACACTAATCCTTACTTCAACCTTATGATGAAGCATGTAATATTGGTAAATAATATAACTCAGAGTCCTAAAGACATTTATAAACCTCTCAACATCACTTACTGGGTTTATTATATCTTTTGAACCCCCTTGGTGGATTTTTTCCCCTTTATACATGGTTCACCATTATGCATCACAAAAATTACCACTTTATTAGCTAGTAATTTGAAATAATTTGAAAATAAGTAATGTCTGTCTGTCTGTCTATCTAACTTTCTGTCTCTCTGTCTATCTATCTGTCTGTCTATCTATCTATCTCTCGGCCTGTCTACCCGTCTCTTCTATTCTAATTGCTGTAGTATTTTCCATTAATTCTTAGAATGTTAAAGACCTGCGTTCTCTGATTGAAACAGTTAGGCTGCAGTAGGTTTGCTACATTTCTTCCTTTGCCTTCAAGTACTTTAGGTATAAGTTTGAGAGGACGTCTGCTTCTTTTTTTGCCTCAGTGATTTCTCACGCCCTATTGAATAGAGACACATTAGCTCTGGTGAATTGTTGTGAACACAGGGAGGGACAGCTCAATGCTGGAAACAGGCGTCAATAAATCTTGCAGAAAGAACTCCAACACCTGCCGGATCCACTTCAGCCAATAATTGTTTAACATGACAGTCCAAATACTCAGCAAGGTAAGTTAAATGAAATATCAACATGGGGGGATGTCTGCTTTCCTAGTATCAAACTTCGTTATCCGTGCCTCGGAGAGATGCTGTCAGTGCAATAAAAACCAGAAAGAGAGAGAGAGAAAGATCTAAAGAGAACAGATAGGAAAAGAAAACATATATATATTTTTTTCTTTTTCCATTAAAGACACATTTACTGGGAAACGTTCTGTACAAAATAGAACGGTATTGTCTTTTTATGTGTGTCTAGATTGGGAGCACGTAACAGCAGACGAGACATTTTGCCAGAGTATTACTCTCATTATCCTCATCCACTTGTCAAAAATCCAATGGCCAATTTCATTATAATAATTACTGAAAGGCCTAGTTACCTTTGGCCTACAATATAGATTCTTGGCTAGTGATCGTTGGTTGGCTGGTGGTCCGAAGACTGGACAAGGAGTTCATGGCCTGAGGACCAGCTATGACCTTCATTGCATTATATTTTTGTTTTAAACTCATGCTCGAAATTTTAAAATTCAAACCTGTGGAATCTCAAAAAAGGGAACCCTTACATAATCAGTACGTATATTCTCTATTGACCTGCACTATATATTTATAGAAATTGAGGAGATTATGTCACTAGGTGTTTACACAACTATTTTCTGTATGTATAAACATTAAAGACCTACAATTTAAGACATTAAGGAACTTGGGAAGCAGAAGGCCAATATATAGGTGTCATCAAAGAGCACCCCATCCAATGGTACGATATTGGCAAGCATCCCGTGAAGGGAATGAAGCCCCATGTAACAAAAGCACAGCTTAGTGGAAAGGGGCTTGACAGGGGTTAGGAGGCGGGCATAGGAGGAAGCTAATGGGATTGGTTAATGGAGGGCTAGGGTCTGGGCCAAATAAGTAGGCCAACATCTTAGGAAAAATCACCTTTAACTTGCCTACCTGGCTGAGTTTATCCCACTCTCCCTCCCTGGGTTTTTTGGCAATAGCGGGGTTCCCGTTTTGTCACAGCGGCGGGATGGAGAGCTCTAGGAGAGGAAATAGGCTCCCCAGTAGGAAGGTTATGTTAATAGTTATTGGTATGTTGGTAGGTTTTGAGTCCTGTCGGTGGCTCGGAACCTGGTGGGGTAGGGGTATCCGGGTATACCCCTACCATGGATAAATTGTAATAAATGGTTGGCACTTTAAGTGATGTTATGTTGGTCTAATGTTATATATATATATGTATTTATTAAGGGGGTCATTGCCTTTTATACCTAACGGAAGGATACGGAAGTAAGGGCGGGGCATAGGGCAATGACCCAAAAGTTTCTATGTTAAGTTATTATTATTTATATATTTAATAAAGCTGTGGACAATTTTACCCATATACCCTAGTGTCCATGTTTTATTGGGGTTAGGTATGTGGGGGGTTTGTCCAAGGTTCCAGATGCCCATATGGCGACGATACACCGGTCAAGGAAATGCAGACACCTTTTTAGCTTGATGAGCAGACATGTAGTCCTAAAATGCACACAAACTGGTCCATGTTTATACTTACTATCACTAAACCACCAGAACGACATTATTTGATGTTATCTTAACAAAGCAAATGAAAATTCGACATTGGTGTTTAACAATTACATTTCACAAAAGATATTAAAGGAAATATTCCAAGCGCCATAAACACTACAGCCGTCTGTACGTGTGCAAATATAAATCGCACACCATACATATAGTATTTTTAAATTATATATAGATGTCATAATGCTTTATTTATCTAAAATATCTGTGTAACCAATGTGTTCGGTATATAATTATATAAAAATGTTACAGTCTGAGAGACAGAGTAGTTCTTAAAAACTACCGAGCCCAAATTTCTTGAAGGCCAATTTTTCTTCATATTGGAAAGCTCTTGGGATTGTGGGCGATTTCATAGCATAATGTTCATGGATAGATAGTTAATGGGCTTCATAACTATAATATCAGATGTTTCGGTTCTTTCATCAAACGTGAATTACAGCAATTCTGCTTTACTTGTGCTAACAGCGTATCCCTGACTGGATAGTTATGTCCTTTCACCTCTTCGATGAACTTTCATCTTCAGTTTTTTTATCCTTAAGACGGTCTTCAATCATTCGCACTTTATCTCATTTTGAAGTTGAAAATATATACTGAGACAAGGAACGCACATATGGTACAAAACAGCTGCATATTACTGTATGGAATCCTCCTGAGGAGCTTCCAAACAATGATACATCCTCATAAACTGATAGACTTCATTTGTTTTCCTGAATAAAGTGTATTTACATGCAATTTATTTTTTTTACATGTCTTGTGCAATTATAAGGTCTGTATATCAAGGCAAATCTGCTTCTAAACTGGCTTGCAGAGATTCATGTCCTCCTGCGAGAGATACATTTTATCCTGCAAATTAAGATTCACTTATTTTTGTACGTTTTATTTCCTCAGCAAATTAAAGGGAAAGTAAAGGATTATAAGGAATAAATTGCGCATTAACCTGTTCAAGATCAGGGTTAGAGCTAATCCTTTGCAGTCTGGACAGCCCCAACATGTTGTTATCATGGGTGGATAAAATGCAGTTTTTGTGCATTTGTACGTTGTAAATTTACAACTTAAAATATGTATCTCCATAGCCTGTCTTTTGCACCCTTAATGTTATATTTAAACTAATCAAGTTTTAGTAAATGTAGCTTTGATTACAATAACCAATATGGTCAACTAAACATCTCAGTTAGAAGCTGAATCATTTAGATTCTACATAGGAGCTCTGGAGTCTCCACATTAAAGCGCCCCTTCCTATCGCAAGCGCCCCTGTTAAAACCTTCAATTTCACAATGTCAGAAAATTCCCAATTAAACACATAGGGTCGATCATTAGGTTAAGACCAAAATGGGGTACTTTGCAGCATGAGCAGGCGTAAGTAATTTGTTGACATATTTTATGAACTATTTACCAATTATTATATCTATATTGTATAAACTCTGCACTTTTTAAGATAATTTTAGAACAGAAATTATTGCATTTTGTTTGTAGTGTCCATTGACCTTGTGATGTGTGGTGACGTAGTTGATGTATGTATAAGTGCTACCTTTCTGTTCTGTGTAGATAGATAGAAACTAGATAGGTGATGTATAGATATCTAGATAGATAGATAGATAGATAGACAGATAGATAGATAGACAGATAAAAAATGATAGAGAGATGATAGATAGCTAATTAGATAGATAAATAAATAGAAAACATAGATGATAGATAGATAGATAGATAATTAGATAGACAGATAGATAGATGATAGATAATTAGATAGACAGATAGATGATAGATAGATAATAGATATATAGATAGATAGATGATAGATAGATAGATAGATAGATAGAATACATAGATGAAAGATATATAATTAGATAGACAGATGTATAGATAGATAGACAGACAGATAGATAGAATGGATAGATGATAGATAGATATATAGATAGATAGAATACATAGATAGATAGACAGATAGATGATAGACAGATAGAAAGATATATAGATAGAATACATAGATGATGGGTAATTAGATATATAGACAGATAGATGATAGACAGATAGAATAGATAGATGATAGCTAATTAGATAGATAGATTATTGATAGATAGGTAAATAGATGATGGATAGATAGAATACATAGATGAAAGATAGATAATTAGATAGATAGATGTATAGATAGATAGATAGAATACATAGATGATAGATAGATATTAGATAGATGATAGATAGATAGATAGAATACATAGATGATAGATAATTAAATAGATAGATGATAGATAGATAATTAGATAGATAGATAGACGATAGATAGATAGATAGATAGATAGATAGATAGATAGATTTATAGATAGATAGAACAGATAGATGATAAATAGCTAATTAGATTATTGATAGATAGATTAATGATAGATAAATAGATGATAGACAGGCAGAGAGATAATAGACAGACAGATAGCTAATTAGATAGATGGATACATAGATGATAGATAGATAATTAGATTGATAGATAGAGATAGACAGACAGACAGAGAGATGATAGATCGATAGATAAATGATAGATAAATTATAGATAGATGATAGAAAGATGATAGATAGATAGATAGATAGATAATAGACAGACAGATAGCTAATTAGATAGATAGATGGATACATAGACGATAAATAGATAATTAGATTGATATATAGAAATAGATAGACAGACAGATGATAGATAGATAGATAGATAGATAGAAAGATATATGGATAGAATAGAAAGATGATAGATAGCTAATTAGATAGATAGAAAGATTATTGATTGCTAGATAGATATATACATAGATGATAGATAATTAAATTGATAGATAGAGATAGATAGACAGATAGATAGATAAATAGAAAAATAAATGATAGATAATAGATAGATGATAGAAAGATGATAGATAGATAGATGCATAGATAGATAATTAGATAGATAGCTGATAGATAGCTAATTAGATAGATAGATGATAGACAGATAGAATAGAAAGATGATAGATAGCTAATTAGATAGAAAGATTATTGATAGATGATAGAAAAATAGATGATAGACAGACAGACAGATAGATAAATATATAGATGATAGATAATTAGATTGATAGAGACAGACAGACAGACAGATAGATGATAGATAGATAAATGATAGATATATGATAGAAAGATGATAGATAGATAGATAGATAGAATAGAATAGAATAGATAGATGATAGATAATTAGATAGATAGATAGATAGACAGACAGACATAAACAATAATTTAGGTAGATAGACAGAATGTGAGATTGATAGATAATAGATAGATAGGTAGATATATAGATAGGTTGACAGACAGACACAGACAAACAAAAAAAATGTTTAGCTAGATAGACAAATACAGACAGATAGTTTAGGTAAATCTATGGATAAATAGATATATGTCGGATTGGATAATGTTAGATATTATTTAATTAGTTCATGCATTGCCGTATTCTGTCACATGCATTTGTGTATTGGAATCTATTGTTGCTCAATCACTTATAATATTTATCTAACAGATCCTACCACCTCCTCTGATGTGATTTGTTCACAGCAGGAATTAAACAAATGAACTAATATACACATGGTATGCCTGGCGTAGATTTATCAATGTCGCTAGAGAGTAAATAATGTATCTAAGGTGACTTGCAGTTGTCTATGCCTTAGGCACTGTCACAATATCTACCAACATGCATTTGCCATTGAATCTGAGTGGCAGACTGTTCATTGGTGGTATCACTTTGACAACCCCTGCATGGCATGGCTCGCACACAGCTGCTAACTGTTTAAAGCTGGGGTTGGGTTGCTTAGCAACAAAAAAGGTTGATTACAAAGACTACACTGATTAGCAAAAAAAAAAAAGTAAAATGAATTAATTATTTATTTAACTAATTGACGAGCAACTTCTTTTTAATTATTCACTTAATTAAAGAAGTGTAACTACAACATTGCCCTTATCAAGAGTGTTGATATACTGATGAGATTTCAGAAGCACACTTGTTGCTGTTGATAAAATAAAGGCCCCCCCCCAACAAAATTTTAACTACTTTTTTTCCAACGCAAAACGATTACATTTGGCAGTCATGTCATGAGCAGAGGGATTCGTTCTCCAAACACTGAATTGGGAATAAATTGAAAATTGATTTGCGAAATTTTGACTATAAAAGCCAAGCTGTGATTATATTCTAAACATTTTGCAAGATCAGCTAGTGTTGTTTAAATTTTGCAATTAATTTCTCAATTAACAGCAATTAAATGTTTAATAAATAAGCGGTTTTCATGGCCAAGAATGATATCCACTTTTTAATTTCCTACAAGAAACTAGAAAAAAAAACAACAAATGATAAAGGCAAGTGGCAACATAAACGTGGGTCTCGATGGCATATATTTCCAATTTTTCATTATTTTATTGACATGAATTAAATGATTAATTTGTGCAAAAAATAAATAAATTGTGCAATAAAACATGAATGCTGATTTCAAAACATGGCTCAGTTTTGGGATACCAGGCTAACAGGAGGCACGTCCTCATAAAAGCATTCTAAAACAAATCATTGATCACAATTTACTGCTTTATTTAGGCCTTGGATTAATTTGTTTGGATCAGCATCAGAAATGATCACAATCTGTCAGAAAAAAAACTTTCAAATGATTTATCAACAAAAATTCCGATAGAGTTTAATGATGACTTCTGTAGATAAATCATTTGAAAAGTTTATTTCTAACAGATTGTGATCATTTGCCATGCTGATTCCAACAAATTACACCAAGGCCTCAAGGATGCAGTGTGGACTTTAAAATTATTGAGATCTGTTGGTGAAATCCTCATCAACTTTACAAGTGATTTAGGGTTTATGTTTTTAAGTCATTCATTTCTGATGCAAAATAAAATTTCCATGTGATATCCATCAAGGTGTTTCTCCATGACTTTTGCATGGAAATTGCATTAGTTCTACTCACAATGGCAAAGTTGAAACACTACTATGCATTGTGAGGCATAGTTACTAATGCTAGGCCTGGATTAAGAGCCCACCTGGCCTGGTGCTGATGATGAGGGGCCTAATTACAGAATCGTATCGACAGAAAACACTAAAACAGTTATACTTCCCATATATCATGTACCTGGTGGAGGTGGTGCCGGAGGGAAACTCACAGGATGTATTTATAAGAATATACAATTTTCTAATCTCTCGCTTTCATCTCTCAACCAAATCCATACCCTCATCATTGGCATCCTGTAAATTGGGATGCTGGTGGGCAGGGTAAAAGGAGGTGGGCCAGGGATGCAAAATATATCACTGGCACTGCCAAAAGGGGTGGACACTCCTGGAAAAATGGAGGAGGATGGCCAAAACAATCACGCAGGCCAGCCAACTAAGGGTGAACAGGGCAGACAGCATTGCTTCAACATTGTGAACTTGGAGCAAAAGCATCTAATGTGCTTACTCTATGCTTTAGGGTGCAGTACCCTGGGGTTCCCCAGCATTCACTTGTCCTCTTCTTCCCAGAGCCAGGAGCTTCAGCTCCATTAGCCCCTATGTTAACCAGGCCCTGAATAGGGCACATTTGTTGGGCACACTGTTAGTGTAGAGCATTGACAATAAGCTAGTGACTTGCATTTTCCTTGTTACAATAAATATAACAAGCTCCATATACCAATTTGAGCATGATAAGTGTACACTGAAATTTTGCATACATTTTCTGCAATCTGTGTTTTGCTACAGAAAATAAATTGGTCTGGATTGAAGACTTTCTGTAAATACATCAATTGACAATTAATTACATTTTAATTAGTGAAATGTTACAATCCTGGTAGGAGTTTAGCCGCTCTAGACTGGTTTGGAAATCTTTGGCTTGCTGGTTTATAAATAATTGTGAATGCAAATTATATTGTCATTATGAACCTTTCTAGTAAAATAAATCCAATTAAAACATCAGACATAATTAGCACAAACACTAAGTGGCCACTTTATTACAGAAACCTGCCTGTTAAAAGGTTAGTCTAAGCACCAAAACCACTTCAGATCCTGAAGAAAGTCTTGATGTTTTTTGAGCCAAAACATTGCATGGTGTCTGCAATAAACAGCCTTCAAATTGTGATCAGTGTACCTGAACTTTCTTTCTTTCCATATTTCTGGAAGGTGGCCGCTCTTGGATGGTTGGTATAAGGCACATTGTAAACAAGAGAGATTATTCAAACTATCTAGAAAAATGGCGTGCAGCGCTGGAGTACAGAGTATCGTTACTTGAAGAAGCCAATCAGAGCAGAGATCCACGTTGGTTCTACTCCTACTAATTAATAGAATGGCTTGAAAATACATTGTGCATGTGATCAACAAAATTGGAAGACTGAACACTAGGTATGGGTTGCTTTGTCACGTAGTTGCATATTATAGCTGCATATATTCATCTATTTATGAAATCATTACTAACATTAACATTATTTAAAATAATTCATACCTACTTAACCAAAGCAAATAAGATGCTAAACTATTTAATTTTACATTGACTACATTTATATTGGTTCAATGCTTACGACTAGAAGATTGAGAAGATTTCGACTGCACCATGAAGTTATTTGCATTGGATTTGCATTCTATTATCACTTGTGTTCGGTTAGTTATATTCCTAGTATGACAGTGACATAATGACTCTTAGAGACAACAGGCTAACACTACTTTGAAGAAATACAGATGTTTAATTCAGGTGTAAAAGTGATATGAGAGTAGAGTATGCTTTAGATGAGCTAGTATGTAAAGGAACACTATAGGGTCAGAAACACAAACATGTATTAAACACCATCTAACCCCCTGCTCCCCCTAAATATAGTAAAATCTCACTTTTGTTCCAGTCTGCACCTGCTGGCTCTGCCCCTGAACTGCCTCCTTGGATGATATCATCAAAAGAGATGATCATTCACAATTAGTGATGTCCCGAACTATTTGCCGAACGGTTCGCCAACGGTTCGCCACGAATGGTTCACCACGGACTCATCATTGAGTAAACTTTGACCCTGTACCTCACAGTCAGCAGACACATTCCAGCCAATCAGCAGCAGACCCTCCCTCCCAGACCCTCCCACCTCCCGGACAGCATCCATTGTGAAGCTGCATTCTTAGTGAGCTGTCCAGGAGGTGGGAGGGTCTGGGAGGGAGGGTCTGCTGCTGATTGGCTGGAATGTGTCTGCTGACTGTGAGGTAGAGGGTCAAAGTTTACTCAATGATGAGTCCGTGGCGAACTGTTCGTGGCGAACCGTTCGCAAACCGTTCGGCAAACAGTTCGGGACATCACTATTCACAATGCTTTTCCAAGGAGGCAAATCAGGGGCAGAGCCAGCACAAGCCAAACACAGCACTGGCCAATCAGCATCTCCCCATAGAGATACATTGAATCAATGCACCTCTATGATGACATTTCCATGCAGACTGTGAAGACACTGTCAGTCACCCTGTACAGCATTGCCCTAGGAAGCACCTCTATAAGCTAGCTGAGGAGTGGCCAGTGGAGGTATCCCTAAGCTTTAATGTAAACATTGCCTTTTCTCCAAAAAAACAGTGTCCCTTTAAGGCTGCACTGGAACTACTGAGTGGAGCTTTTTGCTTCCTAAACACCCTGCAGTTAAGAGTTGTCTACAGGGCCTGCAAGAGAGCAGTGGGAGCTGCTAAGTAGTCCTCATGTATATTCTGGGTAGGTAGGCACGTAGACACCCAATCCCTTAGGATGAGGGTGACATAAAATCAGTTACATTTGTATATATGAAAGATGGGTTTAATGATCCTCTTATTACCCTAATTCATGTACAATGAGAGAAGGGTTAAAGGAACATTCCAATGTAAAATATGTGGG